AGTTCCGCAGGGCCTGTAACTTCCGCCAGGCCTTTAAATAGGAGCCGTCACTATTGTTACCTTCAATGATCCTATTGAACTTCTGGATCCTAGGACTGGCCCAGTTGTATCTCTAGGCCCATCGGCTTGAGGGATGATGATCGGACGAACAACGTGGATTTATATCTGGAAAGCGCACCATCTAATCTTTAGTTGCTAACTGTTAAATTATGTAATATGAATGAGTATGTGTTTTATGTAGTTTTAAATTTTTATGGTTAATCAGGTACATTGTACCGCTTTGTTAGCCGCCCTGAGCCTGTTCGCAGGATGTATGGGGTATAAATATAATAAATAAATAAATAAATAAATAATATTAAACAGTCTTGTCTTATAAAAGTTGGAAAGAATAGCTGATATATCAATGTGTAGCATTAGCCCAGTGGTTTCTCTGCAACACACATTCACTTTCATCCTGAAGGCAAAGCAGTACAATGTTGTGATCTGCTGTGTTAAAAGCTACTGGGTTTGCACAGAAGCTAAAGTCTGGCTGAGGGAAAGGAATCTTACCTTTGGTGAATTTACAACACAAATCTGTCAGCCTCAGTCATAAGGCAGTATTATCAGTGGCATTTGGAAACCTGAATTTAAATGCTAGGACCTTGTGCTTCCCAGCTTACTGTTTCTTGGAGGAAAAGTTCCTCTAAGAACAGGAAGTCTAAGTCATGTTCTGTAATTTCTCATTTCTCACAAAAGCAAGTTGTTAATCTTTTTACCTAGCAAAGCAATCTTTGATGTAAAGTCAACTAATTTACCATCTTGTGCAATAGTTTTGCTAAAGTCTTGGCTTCACAGTTCTTGTGCTTTTAAAATAAACGTACATGGTGCAGGAGCATAACATTGCAATAACAGAGTAGTCTGTAGCAGCTGATGGCGCACTCATGTGATGGCTAAGCTTATTCATGTGATGGTTGTTTTATAAGGACAAAGGCTTTCTTTGAAATTAATGCATTTGACCACAGAGGGCCACAGAGGGGAAAAGACAGCTTATGTGATTAGAGTGTCATTAAGGAGAATAATCTAACATTAGCAATAGTTCATCCAATAAATATATTACTTCACCTGTTTGGAATGGCTTCATTCCGAAAGTATGTTGAGGATGCCACAGGCCTGGAGATTGGCATGGATGCCACCTTTCCAAGCAGTCCGCTTTGGGTGTGCAAGGTTCCCTGGGATTAGGAACACCTGACTGCCCAAGGGAAGAGGCCAGAATTGTAGAGACGGGGATGGACTAGACAATGCCAGAGGAAGCAAGTTTACCCCTCTTCTTCTCCTGGATCATTGTCTTCAGGGGAAAGTTTACATGCCAGGGCAAAACGGGCCAAGAAGTCCCTAATAGGAGGTATTCCCAACTCAAACAAAGGGGAGACGAAGACGACAGATCTTCAATTGTCTCTAGAGCACCTGTAAGGTGACAAACGAAAGCCTCTTTAAAACAAATGTGTTACTACAACAGGTTCAGATGCAGACTTTGATTTAGAGGAAACTCACTCCATCATTACATGTGTAGTAACTAATTCTGATAAGGAAGAAGGAGAATGGTCTGGGGAAGACTCGGATTCTAAGAACACCTTTACTAGATTCTTCCAACCTGAGTATTATCATAGACTTTAAAAAATATATATATTATTATTTTCTATAAGAAAAGGTGGGATATAGAAGGGAAGAAAGGGTAGGGGGGAAATATAGATTTGTCAGGTTTATCAGATATTATGAGTTATGTACAACAAGTAAAATTAGATGTATTACCGAATGTATTACATATTTCAAATATAGACAGTCAATAAAGCATAAATATTACAGAATTTTGGGATAGATTGTCTCTTTAACAAATAAACAAGATCTTTCCTAAAGTTAGCAGTAATCTATTAACGATGAGAGATTATTTCTTTAACAACTGAACTAACTTCTGTGCTAAAAATAAATCATTGTAAAAACCTTAATATTGTCTTAATTGTTTATCGAAATCTACATTTATTCTTAATTGTATATAAAAATCTAAATTTAATTACTAGTGGAGTACAAAATAAAGTATTGAAACTCTAATCAACAGTTTCATCATCATTAATATGATATTCAGGTAATTCCAGAATTTTTAAAAAATAATTATTCCTGTAGTATGAGTAATA